TGTCTCCCTCTCTCTCTGCCCCTCTCCCGCTTGTACTCTGTCTCTCTTTCTCAAAAATAAGTAAACATTAAAAAAAAACAAAAACAGGACAACTATTCCTGCCTGTCGACCTGGCAGGGCTGTGCTGAGCCTGAAATGGGACATAGGAATTTCCTGGAGAAGTTTAAAGTGCCATGCATATACAACGCACTGTTATAATTATAGGTGGCTGCATTTGTAGCTTGCTGTGCCCGGGTGGGCACGAGTCTGTCCAGATGCAGTCCAGGAACAGTGGCATGTGAGTCAGGTTTCCGTCCTGCTGCCTGTTCACATGTCCCCCTCCGCCTCCGATTTGGGGTTTCTGACTCAGACCCCCTGAGATTCCACTCGCTCTCGGGGAGCAGCTGCTAGGCGTGGGGAGGAAGAGCGTGAGACTCGTATTTTCCTACTTAGGTCACTTGAGCAGGTCACTTAGACTTTGTATGACTCAGTTTATTTGTCTGGAAACTGGGAACAAGGAATCCTGCCCTATTCACCTCACAGTGTTGTTGGTGGGGGGGTGTTCAGTGAGATAATGGAGGTGATGCAGAAGTAGGCAGGTCGTTTCTGGCAGGTTTGGAGGCATACATACACTCCCACGGTGCCAGCCTGGGGCAGAACACCTAGGAACCTCTCTGCCCCAAGCATGCCCACTGACATGGACTCCTGCCAGGTGGTCCTCCCAGCACGCAGTGCTCCCAGGCAGGGCTCCACTGTTTACGACACATTTTTGCAGATACCGGCTCTCTGCCCCGCCCTGGCAATCCCGTGAGGTTTCCGCCCCATCTTGTCAATCGGAACCAGGCGAGGCATGTCGAGGGCGAGTGACAGCCCGGTGCTCTGGGCCGCCAATGTAGAGCTTCTGACGCGACATGCTGCTTGTGATGCCATGTGGCCATCTGGGTCCTCTGCCATCTGAGGCCGAGTCTGCACCGGGAGCACAGCTGGTCCATCTGGACCCCCTCCCCGCACCAGCTCAGGGCCATGCCCCTGCACGCACAGGCTGCCTTGGGCAAGGGTGTTATTGGCGCAGGCCAACAGCCTCTGCCATGTTGACCCAATTTTTGCACAAGGCTCTGTGGGCTGCAGGGGACCTTCGGACCTGGAGGAAATGCCCCCATCGGCTCCCTGTGCAGGTGGTTCGTTATTTGTAGCTCACTCCCTGCTGAAAAGGGCTTGTAAGTTGAAGGCCTCGACTTCCCCCTTGCAGCCACAGAAGACAGAGGCAGAGAGACCCGGAGAAACAAAGTGGGGGGTGGGTGAGGGACAGCCCAGGAAAGGCGGCGTGGCCACCTAGAGAGCCGGAAAGTATGTGGGAGGGCGGCTCCAACCCCGACCTACCTCCACCACGTGAGAAGAAAAGCCGGTCTGGGACATCTCCAGCCCGAAGGACGTCTCGTTCTTGTTGGTGCCTAAAACAGAGGGACAGAAAGTCCTCAGCTGCACTCCCGATTGCTTAGCGCCACCCACCTGCAACCCCATCCATGGCACCTGTGTCCTGGGGCACCTCCGGGGAGGGAGGAGGGGGCCCTGAGGCAGCCCACACAGGGAGGGCACCTTCCAGGTGGCCGTGGCTTCACTATCAGTAGCCCAGTCACTGCCGCAAAGGGTTTGGGACAAGTTATATGACAGAGCATGTATGCCATAATGTCAATATAGGGGAAAGAGCAAGAAAAGCACATGGAAAGAAACAATCTCCATCGTTGGCAAGAAATGGAAATTCCATTTCTTTCCTCACTTCTCTCATTCCTATTATTCACCAGATTTGGTTCCAGATGCCTCTGGATGATTCCCAAACATTGAATCGAACCCTCGGGAGGGGGACCTGTCACCACCCCAGATTTGCACAAGTAACCCATGTGTGCTGAAAGCCCCTCCCCATAGAGGGCCTCCCGGAACATGTCACCGGCACCGATCTTCTCAACACCCAAAGGCAACCATTTCTGGGAGAAATACACTCAGCTGAGTATAAGTTCTGGCGGGAGTGTTGAAACTCAGGTTCAAAGTTTCTATTCCTTTATCCTTGTGGATGAGGGCTGCTTTCGTCTCCTCATGGGTCTGTAGCTCATCTTTTCCAAAGTGCTGCAGACTGCTCGGGCTTGTCCACACTGCTTTTTATCTCTGTTTACCATCCCCCCCATGTGGCCCAGCCCCGTGTTGGGAGGAACGGCTATAGCAACACATGGCTCAGAGGAGATCCGTGCCATCGAAACCGAAGTTTAAACAGTAAGGAGAGGGGTGCCTGGGTGGCCCAGCCGGTTGAGCGTCCGACTTCAGCTCAGGTCGTGATCTCACGGTTCGTGAGTTCAAGCCCCACATCAAGCTCGGCGCAGAGCCCGCTTCAGATCCTTTGTCCCTAGCTCTCTGCCCCTCCCCTCTTCACACTGTCTCTCGTTCCCTCTCAAAAATCAATAAACATTAAAAAGTTAAAGAATGAATAAATAAACTTGAATTTCAGACAATCAGCAGATAATTTCCTAGTATAGGTCTGCCACAAACACCGTATTTTATATTTGCTAAATATGGCAACATTAGTTCAAAGCCCGTCTCTTCCCAAAGCTGTGGAAGCTTTGGCAAGTCACTTAGGTCCTATGAGCTTCCAGTTCCTCGGTGGTAAAAGGAGAATGTCAGCAAAGCCACCGTCCAGGGCTGTCTGTGAGGTCCAGCACAGAATACCAGGGCCCTATCATGAAGGGATAGCTCCTGCTAAAGCTTTCTGTGTTGTGGGCCTGGATCTTGCTCTATGGGGTTCACCTGGTGTGAGCCCAGGAGCGTAGACCCCTCTTGGTATGTACCCCTCACCTTCCAAGCTGAAGATCCTGTCCCCCAGGGCATCAACAATGTCCTTCAGGGCCGCCTCGTCAGTAACGTTGAAGAAGTGCTTGTCATCGGGGTCACTGGCGATGTATTTGATCTCATTTAGAAAAGCTTCTGGATTGATCCCCCTGCGGTTGTAGTAGCCCAGGACCTGCCAGGGAACGGGGGCAGGGCGACAAACCAGGACTTGGCACAGACCTCCCCACAGCCCCGCGGCCCCTGACCCCGCGTGGCTGGAGCCCTTTTTGGTTGCCATGGGCAGAACTCGGGGTCCCACCGGCATTTTGAAACAGGCTGTTTTGTAGGGGGCAGATAAGGCCCCTGTTCTAAGATAGGGTTCTGGGGGCTGGGTCGCTTGGGGGTGTTTTCTTGTGTTTTGAAGGTTTTGGCAATGGAGGAACTCTCCCCCAACCCCCAGCCTGTCCCCAACTGTTGCAGATAGCCCTTGACAGTGCTGAAAGAAAATTCCCAAGGTGCTCTTTAGGAGAGGATGAAACAAGAAGAGGCCCGTCCGGGGGCCTGGGCAGCTTGCTCACTACCCAGAAAATGCCCCTGGGAGTCCCCAGGGGTCTGACGGTAAAGCCTCTAGGGGCGGAGGGTGGGACAGGTGGGGCAGGACTCACGGCCACAGCGTATCTGGTCACGTTGTCTCTCTCGCTTTGCTGGATCACCTTCTCCAGGTCTGGGCTGTCATGGGACTCCCCATCTGTGATGACAATCATCACCTTCTTGGCCCCTTTCCTTCCGCCTTTCTGGAAAGCCTCTGAGCTGAAAACAGAGCACAGGGGGAGGGTCACAAGAGAGATGTAGGGATGCAGCTCCCAGCGATCCTCCAGAGGGGCTGCTGCAGATGTGGGGCCGAGCCCCCTCACCTCCCCAGGGGAGCAACCCAATAGGGTTTGGATCTCAAACCAAAGAAGAAGCTGGGTTGAGGTGCCCACACTACTCATTTGCCAGCTACTCAGACAGGTCATGTATCTGCTTGTCTTTAAAAAGTAACTTTAAAGAGCCTCTTTAGGGTCCTGACCATGCTGTTTTGGGCAAGCAGAGGGAGCAGGTGGGTTTGGGAGAAAAGTTCAAGGTCAGATGGAGACCTTTAGACACCCTAAGTTAGTGGCTCAAAAACCCAGCTATATATTAGAATCACCGGGGGGAGTTAAAAAAAAATGCCAATGGCTAGGCCCCACCCGGGCATGTAATCAGCATCTCGGGGGCATTGCCTGGAAATCAGGCCATTTTTTCATTAAAAATTTTTAAAAATGTTTTTATTCATTTTTTGAGACAGAGAGAGAGAGAGAGAGAGAGAGAGTGAGTGAACAGGGGAGGGACAGAAAGAGAGGGAGACACAGAATCCGAAGCAGGCTCCAGGCTCTGAGCTGTCAGCAAAGAGCCTGACGCAGGACTTGAACCCTCAAAGCACAAGATCATGACCTGAGCTGAAGTCAGATGCTTAACCAACTGAGCCGCCCCGGTGCCCCATCAGTATTTTTCAAAAGAATGAATACCGGGGTTGAGAACCACTTCCCTACATACTGAAAAGGTGACAGGCCACAGTAATTCAACACCCAAACAACACTAATCCATAAAATACACATAATGACATCTGACAAAGTTCTGCTTTTCCCCACAAGGACTACTTTGATTCCATTTTGGGAATGATTAAATATCAAATTCCATGACAAATATTCCTCTCTCTTGCTTTTTACTTTGTTTTGTGCCTGGAGCAGGTGCTTGGCCTGCCTCTCGGGCAATCCAGCCAAGGGCCAGGGGCCTGGCACGCTGACCCATGATGCTGCAGAGAGGCTCTTACAGCTGGCAACCCATTTCAGAAGCATGAAAACTGGCTGTGGAACCATTCTGGCTCTTGGTGCCTCTGTGGACAACCCTCCTTTAGATCGTGAGGTTCTGAGTAGGACAGACATGGTCTGAACCAAAAATCTGGCCCAGCAGGTAGAATTTTCCAATAAGGATCTAAAACCAGATGCTTCCCTTAGATTCTATGTTGACTCCCTTGGGGTCTGACCCGGGGAGTTAAGCTCTGCAATGCTAGGTTCAAGCTCTGTACCACACGAATCTCTTGTTACACGGAAGCTGATGAGCTTGACATGCATGATTTAGATGTTGACGAATTCACAAAACCTGGAATAAGTTAGTTCAGAGCATCTTCAAAGCTCCCAGTGAAGAGAAACAGACCATCTGCCATTCTCTCAGCTCTATGATGTTGTGGATATACTGACTTAAAAAAAAAACCAAAAAACCCTTGGGGGCACCTGGGTGGCTCAGTCGGTTAAGCATCCGACTTTGGCTCAGGTCATGATCTCACGGTTCATGAGTTCGAGCCCCACCTCGAGCTCCCTGCTGTCAGCTCAGAGCCCAATTCAGATCCTCTGTCCTCCCCTCTCTCTGCCCATCCCACCCCCCTCTCTCAAAAATAAGTAAACATTTAAAGAAAAAAAAAAAAAACCTCGTATTTTAATATGAGCCATGAACTGAAGGAGGCCAGAGGCACAGTTGACATGACTACAGCGACTTTTGAGCTTAAGCCTCACCCAGTGGAGCAAGAACTCTGCTAGTTCATCAAAGGAGATTCTAGATGTTTCCATAAACTCATTGAAGGATCAGGCTGAGGCATGAAACTCCATATAAAAAGTATGGCAGGGGAAAAACAGGTTTTATTATATATGGAGTCAAGAAAAATTTTACGTTCATATTTTCATATAGTAGAATTGTGTGAATATCTGTATGCATTTGTAATGGGGTAAATATTGACATGATTCATCAGATTTAAAATTGTGATTTTCTACCGAGTAAAAATCCTCGGATATATTCCTTTGCAAATCAGATTATAAGTTCCTTAAGAACAGTGAGAGACTTATACTTACAACAGTTTCCGTGAACCTGGAAGCCAGAATGATCTATGGAAAAGTAGGCCATTTCCTGTCTCCTTTCTGCTCAAAATCTTCACTGGCTCCCATGTCTCTGGGGTCCTGAAAATGGCCCACCAGCCCATCGTAATCTGGCCCTTTTGTCCTTCTGTCCTTCCAAGCCCTTCTTCCTGCTTGCTCCCCTCAATAAAAAGTGTTGAGTGAGCTCAGTTGGAATGACATCATTATCCCCATGGCCCCCAAGTCATACATGACTATTAGATTCACCTTTATGTGCATATCTGATGAAAACACTCTCAAGCCTAAGACCCTTCCGTGGCCAGTCATGGTTGTTCTAGCTATGACATTATCATCCTCACAATCTGGCTTCAATACCCCCTGCCCCAACACGAACCTCACACCATGCTCAAAAGGCTCTAAACATAAGGATTCCTTGAGTTTCCCCCTCTTCTACCCTTAGTCAGGAGGAATGTCTCCTTTTCACCTCTCCTGATTGAATCCTGGGGTCTTCCTGGGACAAGCCAAATGCCAGCCCCTCTTGGCAATCCTTCCTTGGATCCTACCCTCTCATCCTTACTGAGTTAGACTGATGCTTTTCAGAGTTTCCCTATTGGTCCAGGAACCACAGATTACCAGCTTTGATAACCTCTCAAGTCCATGGCCTGGATCTTTTTACTTTTTCAGGTGCCCAGAAAAAATGCATCGTGAATAAGCAAGGAGAGCATTTTCCCTTAAAACACACCCCCTGTAACTTGGGACTTGGCAGGCTGAGAAGATCAGATTTCAAACCTCATTTGAGGTGCAGACTGCATAGCCCAGTGGTGCTCATGAGTCACGACTGGATTCAAACTACTTGCCGGATTGCATACTCGTAATCGTTCTGGGGGTGGTCGGCTATACCCCTGTATAAGTCACTTAGTTCACGCTGAGGAAGCAATAGCTCAGTGGGCATGGGCTTCCTCTGTTGCCCCAGCAATTTCACAAGGGCCTGATGGGGGCCCCAGGGACTCATCCCAGTGACAGCAAAACAGCAAAATGGCCCATTCCTTGTGAGGATGGGTAACAGCCATCATTACACAGAGGAAGGTTCCTTTAGGAAAAAAGTTTGAGCAAGTTTTATCAGCAAACAGAAGTTGATTAGTGGAGCCGTAACTTAATCATAAAGAATTGTAAGGTTGGAAAAAAATGTAATTGTTTGACCACATGAAATCTCCTAAGTAGCTCCTAACTCCTAAGTAGCTCTCACACTGTGGAATTCTGTTAAACACGTCAGCTAATCCTATGTGAAGTGGGACTACCAGAGAATGAGCCTGTGGTCTCAATGGCCATAGTGGAATTCATGTCTATAGGTGTAAAATGTATACATTTAAAATCTATATGCCTTAGGAGTTTAGGCCTCAGCTTGAGAGATCTTGGGGAATTGCTTCTAAAATCACTCACCGATTTCAGTGGGGGTGAGCATAACGTTTTGCGTAATGGCAGTCTCACTGGAGCCAGCACAAAGCCATCTGTGAGGGCAACTTCTAGAGGTAACCTTTATTATCATTGTGAGTGAGTTCGGGTGTGATTTTTAAGGAGGCAGCCTTGTTACTCCACAACCTCAGAAGTTAGACTTACCCGTGTTCCTCACACTCCATTGATGACAGATACTCCACAGGAAGATTCTGCCCTCATGGAACCTACAAACTTTTTATAGGGTCTCTGCGGCACGGCCCATTTTCCATAGTCGTTTGCAACAATACCTCCCATCCCAAACGTTCTTCTGTGATGTAACCTCTCCATTCCTCCATCAAGGAGCAGAGTCAAATGCTCTTCCCCTAGAATCTGGGCTGGCCTTAATGGCTCACTCTATCAGTAGAATACGACAGAAGTTATAGCTGGGACTTTGGGGGCTAGGTCACAGGCAATCTCAGAGTTCCTGTGTGGGCCCGCTGGAAAGCTCTCTTGGGACACTCCCTCTCAGAGCCACATGGCCACATGTGGGTGCTCAGGTCACCAGCCCACACTGAGCTCCCAGGCAACAGCCCAGAGCAACTGCCAGCCACATGGGTGCGCCATTTTGGAAGTCCAGTCCAGTCAGCTCCTCAGATGACAACAGTCCCAGCTGACATACCAGACTACCACCACAGGAGAGATGCCAAGAGAGAATTGACCAGCTGAGCCCAGCTAACCCCCAGAGATTTGAGGGGTTAATAAATTATTGTCTCAAGGCAGGGAATTTTGTAGAGGATTGTTATACAGCAGTATGTAACTAGCACAGTTATCTGAGATTTAAGTAGATTATTATTATTTCTATTTGACTAGGATCTTTTTTTTACCGAGCAAATTCGATGCCAAATGCTGTCCGGGTCTCTGTTCCTCCTCTCTGCTCAATGTGGCTGGCGGCTTCTACCACATCTCTTACAGACCTGTAGTCATTGAGGTGAAATTCATGCACCACGTCTTCTCCATACTGGACAACCCCAACCTGCAAGGCAGGGGAGAGGACGACAGAACATCTTGGTCCCTGAGAGCTGGACCTTTGGAGGTGAGGCTCCCCAGAGTCATCTCTCTGTCTGTGACTGTTCAAAAATGAGGAAGGCTGGAGAGTACTTGGGTAGAGCAGCAGTTCGGGAAAGCTCTGGGAATGAATGGATGGCTTGGTGACACAGGTGGAAGGTGCCTCTCGAGAGGGGAGGCTGTGATTTAAAGAAAGGCCCAACAGATTCTGTTTCTTGCTGGAGCACAGAATTGAAGCCTAAAATATTAGCAGCCACGTGGCTGGAGCATTGTGGCATTCTTCACCAAACGCTGGAACTAAGTTTCCTCAAAACTTAGAAGAGAAGAGATTCTTTTATCCCCAAGGCTGGTAAGATATAGACAGTATTCGTAGCCTCGAAGTAAACAAAAAACCTTAAAAGACTTACAGGGGGATTAGAATGAGAAAGCTTTCCTGTTGGATGGGGCCCGAGTTTATCTGGTGCCTTTCTAATGCTGGACATGCACCCACCATATCCTAAAGATGATCTTCCAGTCATGAGGAAACTCACTCCCTTTTTAACAGCTGTGGTTGCTACGGAATAATTTCTTAGATTGACTTGAAATCTGCCACCTTGTCCCTCTTATATGTCAGCCCTCACTTGGCTATGACCTCCCCCTGAGTCTTCTCTCAAGATCAGTGTGTCTAATCCTCCCGTGCCTCACTCGGCAGGGTTCTACGTGACCTTTCCTACCTTCACTCTACCTGGTTACCTGGCTAAAGTCTTTCTTAATAGGTGTCATCTATCCCGGAAGATAGGTTTGACCAGTGAAGTGGGGCCTCCCCCAAACTGTCCCCGGATGTGCCCAGCAGAGTTGGGTGTCCTGGGCTCAGGGCCTGGCACTGACCCTTGCACCTACACCTTGCCAGCACATGCAAGGATGCGCTCCTCCCTGACCCAGGGTGGCGTCTTCCATAGGTTTGGGGAGCCCTATTCAGAGGAGGAGAGAGTCCCAGAGATGCTCACCTGGATCTGCCCAGGGCCGATGTAAAACTTCTTCAGGATGTTGATGAGGAAGTGCTGGACCTCCACCCAGGGGTAGATGCTGTTGGAGCCATCCAGGACAATGACGATGTCCATGTAGGTCTGGCACCCTGGGAAGTGGGGACACGGTCATGGCTGCCCAGTGAGTCAGCGTCTGCTTTCAGTCTCTGATCCTCCAGATGAGTGCCCAAAGGACAACAGAAGAAGGCCCCTGTCATGTGTATATAATTCCCTTACCTGGGGAGCTGTCCTTGGGCTAGTGGCTGATTTGGGCGACAGGAATGATGAGCCCAGGAACTCCTGGCTCAGCTCAACCACTCTGTGCTGGCTGTTCGAACCAAGCTTTAATTCAGCCTGATTGCCTCCACTCTTCATCAGGGACTAACCTGCCACCGGCTGGGTTAATGCTTCTGAGGCAGCCATCCTGCCCGGATCAGTAGCTCCCTGTCATTTGTTTTACTGCAAAGGCAGGCTGCACTTACCACATTTAGTCCAAATGAATGAGTTTCACTTTTTATGGTGTGCCGGCTAAGACCGTGGGATTCCGCACCAGACTGTCTGACTCCTGGCTTGGCTGAGCACTAGCTGTGTGACCTTGGGCAAGTAACCTAACCTCTCAGGGTCAGTTCTCTGCTGTAAAACAGGTATGACGATAGGAGAGGGTCGTCCTGAGGAATCAAGGAGACGAGGCTTGTACAGAACTGAGCGCAAAGTCAGTGCTCAAGGAATCTTAACTGACCCTCTTTTCATTTTTTTCCCCCTGTGTTTTAAAGCAAACTACTCTGTGAATGTGACAATGACATCATCGGGTCAAGCGTTTGTGCATTTATCTCTGCTCTGAGCATAAAGGTTTCTCTATATTCTCGTAATATTAACATCGCGTTACAACAAACAATAAAAACCAACAAAGAAACGTTGGTACCGTAACAAATGCAAAAACCTTCTTTTAAAATCTGAATAACTTCGTCCTCTTTGTCAACAGTTGGGGTTACTTTGCAATTAGTTGTCCCGATGTGATGTGATATACACTACACGACATTATATCATGTGGAAATACTGGGTATCTGTTGACTTTTACTGGAGAATTTTCACACTGTTGTAAAATCTACTTTATAGCAATATGGCAGAAGCCTTTTGTGTGTTAACAATTCCAGTAACTCCTGTAGCGTGAAGGTGCACTCTGATGAAGTCAGTGCCCACCAGAGACAAGAAGGTGCAGACTTTGTGTCTGGGAGGGCATTTTATTTATTTATTTTTTTAATTTTTTTTTTCAACGTTTATTTATTTTGGGGACAGAGAGAGACAGAGCATGAACGGGGGAGGGGCAGAGAGAGAGGGAGACACAGAATCGGAAACAGGCTCCAGTCTCCGAGCCATCAGCCCAGAGCCTGACGCGGGGCTCGAACTCACGGACCGCGAGATCGTGACCTGGCTGAAGTCGGACGCCTAACCGACTGCGCCACCCAGGCGCCCCAAGGGAGGGCATTTTAGAAGCGTTTGGGTGACTGGGAAGCTCACAATCACCTCTGCTTTAGAGTCGTATAGACGTTCTTGTCTTCACCTGCACACCGTGTGCAACATGTGATGGCCCAATACTTCTGGGCTGACAGCACCAGATAGCTTTGTCCTTTTCCAGGCTGGTTTAGCTCCACGCCTGTGGACCAAGCAGCTGTGCGGTGCCAGTGGCCACAGTGGTGACCACGGCAGCAATTCCTTAATTAGGGGGAGTTCCTAATCTAGCGGTAGGAGCCAGGTTTCTCTTGTTTTTTAAGCCATCTTTATTATTAGAATGCATTTATTACTGCTGATTTCTTTCTTGCAATTTCACATTTTTCTTTTGAATCATCTTGAGAAGAACTTTGCTTTACATCTGTGGCTCCTAAACAGGGCTGAACACTCCGGTGAACACACACACACACACACACGCACACTCACACATACACACACCCTGGGGCTTGTCCCAGATATACTGAGTTACAGCCTCCAAAAGGGGTGCCCTGGGACCTGTGCTTGATA